AAAGCCGGGTGTGGTCGCGCAGGCCTGTAATCCCAGCTGCTCGGGAGGCTAAGGCAGGAGAATCGCTTGAACCAGGGAGGCGGAGGTTGCAGTGAGCTGAGATCGTGCCACTGCACTACAGCCTGGAGAACAGAGTGAGACTCCGTCTCAAAAAAGAAAAGAAAAGAAAAAAAGAAAAATAAAAAGAAGGGATTCTGAAGCCTGAACTTTCTCTGTGTCCCTATCCTGGGGCCTTGCTGAGATGGCTGCTGTGGATTCCTCTCCTCTCCCCAGCTTACAGTGGCAAGTGACATTGCATTTGAGAGCAGAAACTGGCTGCCCCTTCCCCAAATCTCTAGATGTCACCTGACTCAAGAAATGCTCAAATGAAGGCAGTTTTCCTAGGATCAAGTCGGAGGAGGCAAAATTCATTTTCCTAATTATTGAACATCAGCAATTTCTGCTTCAGCTCAGCAACACTATATCTGACTGCCCTGATCTGAATTATGAAAGTCAGCACTTTAAATGTCTCCTAAGTGCAAGGTGCTTTGCATAGACTACCTCATTTAATTCTTACTACGGTGCAAGGTAAATATTTTACGGATTAGCAAACTGAGACTCAGGTAGATCATGAAATTGGCTAATGCCATTTAGTACACTTTAGTCTCTTCAATATATCGCCTAGATCTGTGATTCTCAAGTGGGGCGGTTTTGCACTCAGGGGACATTTGGCGATATCTGGAGGCATTTTTGGTTGTTACACCTTGGAGGAAGGGTGCTACTGGCACCTAGTGAGTACAGGCCAGGGATGCTGCTAAACATTCCATTATGCAGTACTGCAACATGGAATCATCTGGTCCCAAATTGCTGAGGCTGAGAAGCCCTGGCCTAAGCAGAGCCTGAAATCTCTGCAGATGGCTGATAGGACGATTCTTCCTTCGGCAGATTCGGACCTCGCCGCATCCGGGAAGAATCAGTGATGCTTCGGACAGTCAATCCTAGCACGGGGGCCCTCCCCTTCCAGTCCCTCATGGTTGCAGACCTAGGCGATGTGAATGTCAATCTTTACAACCTTCAGGACAGCTGCCGGCGAATTCAAGAGGCCTATGAGAAAATTGTAGCAGCTGGCTGTATTCCTCTGACCTTGGGTAATGTCAGTCTGCAAGAGCCAGAGTAGTTCCCTGCACTCAGGGTTTATTTATCAGGGGCTTGAGTACAGCTACTTCTCCCCTGCAGGCCACTGCATATGTGGAGACAGTAGAAAAGACAGCATTGTAATTCATTTATTTTAATCCCTGGGGAGAGAATATTTCACTTGTGCGTGCGTGTGTGTGTGTGTGTGTGTGTGAGACAGTGTCACTCTGTTACCCAGGCTGGAGTGTAGTGGTGCAATCTCAGCACATTGCAACCTCCACTTCCCGGGTTCAAGTGATTCTCCTGCCTCAGCCTCCCACGTAGCTGGGATTACAGGCACCCACCACCATGCCTGGCTAATTTTTGTATTTTTGGTAGAGTCAGGGTTTTGCCATGTTGGCCAGGCTGGTCTTGAACTCCTGACCTCAAGCGATCCGCCCACCTTGGCCTCCCAAAGTGCTGGGATTGCAGGTGTGAGCCACCGCGCCCGGCCAAGATGATGTTTCTAATGACTATTTGCAAGGAGAACTGCAAAGAGGGTGTTTTTGTCCTGCTCAGGATCTACATCAACCTACAGGGCAGCTTTCCCCTTATTCTCACCCCTGACCCACTCTCACTTTTTCTCTTGTTCACAAATACTTAAAATGACAGGGATCTTTTCCTAAATATCCAGATTCATTTTTGCCAAATTAGAGAGAGAGCCTAGCCTGCATGGCATAGTGGGAGGAGTGTAGTTTCCGGATGGCATGGTTTGAAGTCTCAGCTGCACTTCTCCCTAGCAATGTTGCTGTATACCGTGCTTGATGCTTCACGCCCTCACCCGTAAGATGGGAACGATCACAATAACACCTACTTCACCGCATGCTGTGAGGGGCAGATAATGAAAGTACACATGAAATGCCTGCATGGCATATCTTTTTTTTTTTTTTTAGACAGAATTTTGCTCTTGTTGCCCAGGCTGGAGTGCAATGGCACAATCTCAGCTCACTGCAACCTCCGCCTCCCGAATTCAAGCAATTCTCCTGTCTCAGCCTCCTGAATAGCTGGGATTATAGGCACTCGCCACCATGCCCGGCTAATTTTTGTATTTTTAGTAGAGACGGGGTTTCATCATATTGGTCAGGCTGGTCTCGAATTCCTGACCTCAGGTGATCTACCCTCCTTGGCCTCCCAAAATGTTGGGATTACAGGCGTGAGCCACCACGCCCGACCTATGCATGGCATATCTTAAGCTTCAATAAATGTTAGCTATTATTATTATCAGAAAGAATACTTTCCTAGGTCTGTGCTGTCCAATAGGGTAGCCACTAGCCACATGTGGCTACTTAAATTCTATTTTTTTTTTTTGAGACGGAGTTTTGCTCTTGTTGCCCAGCTTGGCTCACTGCAACCTCCACCTCCCGGGTTCAAGCGATTCTCCTGCCTCAGCCTCCTGAATAGCTGGGATTACAGGTGCGTGCCACCATGCCCAGCTAATTTTTTGTATTTTTAGTAGAAACAGGGTTTCACCACGTTGGCAAGGCTGGTCTCGAACTCCTGACCTCAGGTGATCCGCCCACCTCAGCCTCCCCAAATGCTGGGATTACAGGTATGAGCCACCGCGCCCGGCCTAAATTTAAATTAATTAAAATAAAATACTCAGTTTCTTAGTCATATTAGCTATATGTATGTCACATGTGTGTCACATGTGGAGAGTGGCTACCATATGGGCTAGTGCAGATAGAACATTCTCATCATGATAGACGTTTCTAATGAACAGAGCTATTCTAGGCATTTTCTTAGAATATGCTGCAAAGGCAATTCCTAAAGTAGCTCGTCTAATTTCCTCTTTTATTTATTTAGTTTTGAGACAGGGTCTCACTCTGTCACCCAGACGGGAGTGCAGTGGCGCCGTCATGGCTCGCTGCAACCTTGTCCTCCCTGGGCTCAGGTGACCCTTCCACTCCAGCTTCCTGAGTAGCTGGGTCTACAGGAGTTTGCCACCATGCCCGGCTAATTTTTGTATTTTTTGCAGAGATGGGGTCTTAATGTGTTGCCCAGGTGGACCTTGAATTCCTGGGCTCAGGCGATCTGCTTGTCTTGGCCTCCCAAAGTGTTGGGATTACAGGTGTGAGCCACTGCGCCTGGCCTATTTTTACTTTTACTTTTTAGAGACATGGTCTTGCTATGTTGCCCAGGCTGGTCTCAAACTCCTAGGCTCAAGCTATTTATTTATTTATTTACTTTTGAGACGGAGTTTCACCCTTGTTGCCCAGGCTGGAGTGCAATGGCATGATCTCGGCTCACTGCAACCTCTGCCTCCTGGGTTCAAGTGATTCTCCTGCCTCAGCCTCCGGAGTAGCTGGGATTACAGGCATGCGTTACCACCCCCGGCTAATTTTGTATTTTCAGTAGAGACGGGGTTTCTTCATGTTGGTCAGGCTGGTCTTGAACTCCCAACATCAGGTGACCTGCCCGCCTTGGCCTCCCAAAGTGCTGGGATTACAGGCATAAACCACCGTGCCCGGCAAGCTACTCATATTTTTGAGATCGTGTCTTACTCTGTCGCCCAGGCTGGAGTGCAGTGGCACGATCACAGCTTACTGCAGCCTTGACCTCCTAGGTTCATTAAGCAGCCCACCATTCAATAAGATCTTATTGTAGCTGTGGTTATAGCTCCCCAGTCTGAAAAGGTGAAAACTGGGTTAAAATTATTCAGCTGGGCAAGGTGGCTCATGCCTGTAATCCCAGCACTTTGGGAGGCCGAGGCAAGTGGATCACTTGAGGTCAGGAGTTTGAGACCAGCCTGACCAACATGGTGAAATTAACTCTCTACTAAAAATACAAAATTAGCCAGGTATGGTGGTGCACACCTGTAATCCCAGCTACTCGGGAGGCTGAGGCAGGAGAATCGCTCGAACCTGTGAGGCAGAGGTTGCAGTGAGCCAAGATTGCGCCATTGAACTCCAGCCTGGGCAATAGTTAGAGCAAAACTACATTGCAAAAAAAAAAAAAAAAAAAAAAAGAGATTATTCTATGTAATCTTCCAATTCACTTTTCACACGTTTTTCTTCTTCCTCTTTGCAGGTGGAGATCACACAATCACATATCCCATATTGCAAGCGGTGGCAAAAAAGTAAGTCCCAAATGGCTTGGCCCAGCAAGGTTTCAAAAGCCAGAAGCTAGGGACTGAGTTGTTTGCTGTTAGGTGGCATTAGGTGACTGCTGCTGGCTCAGGTTATGAGCTGCTTCTGGGGATCAAAATTAAGGTTGAGCTCCAGGCGTCTCTTGTCAGTCACCAGCTAGAAGCCAAGACAATTTATTATTAACACTTCTGGCCACCCTCCCTTGCCCTAGATCTGTCCTGGTATGTGTGCTCAGCATTTTCAACTTGCCTCTGCTTTTGGAAGATGAGCCTCTAGTGAAATACACAACCTCAGTTAACTTCAGTTTCTGTTTTGCTTCAAGGGCCAAAAACAAACACTGACAGGCACAATGGTGGGGCTTGCTGAGAGGCCCTTGTTTCCTCCTAAAAGGGCACCTTTCCCAGACAATCAAAAGACTGATTTGCCAGTAGTGGAAGTCTACCCAGGGTTGGCCGACTTTGGCTAATTTAGTTTGAGAAAGAGACAGAAGGACCGAGGTGGAGGGTGGCAGCTCCAGAATGTGTCTATGGAAGCACATGTGGGTGGCATTCTGGTTGGAGGTGGGTGGGTGCAGGTCTTTGCTCAAAGCTACATTTATTTCTCACGGCTTTGGATCATACGTTTATTTTGGGTGACTGGCAGGGGTTGATGGAGGTTATGGAGAGAGCTGGATTGAAGCTTCCTCTTCCTCGGTCGGAGAAAGGGTATGTCTTGGTTTAGTTGAGCCTTCAGCCAAGCTCGCCTGTGCCACCACCCTTGATTCTCATCCTGTCTCTAAATTAAGCATATTCTGGGTGTTAGGTGTGGGTGGCAGCCAAAACATGTCTATTTCCTGCCTGACTGCTGTGAGTTTATTGTTCTTCTGAGATGTTAAGTGATCTCAAGAAGACAGGAACCAGTTGCAAGGCAGAAAATGGATGCCAGGTCTCCCCTTTGTGGCTGTGAATCGTCACCAAGTATTGGTGGCCTGAAGGGTGGCTGTGCTAGGGCCCCACAGGGAGGGTTGGCCTCTGAGCTGCCCTGTTGTCATCAGGCATGGCCCAGTGGGGCTGCTGCATGTGGACGCGCACACGGACACGGCCGACGAGGCCCTAGGAGAGAAGCTCTACCACGGGGCGCCCTTCCGCCGGTGTGTGGATGAGGGTCTCCTGGACTGTAAGCGGGTGGCGCAGATTGGCATCCGGGGCTATTCCACAACGTTGGATCCCTACAGATACAACCGGAGCCAGGTGACAGACCGAATGCCCCCCACCCCTGCCCCCCGAAATGCCTTCCTCTCCATTGCCTCAGCCGTGGCAACCAGGGGTTCAGCAGGGGCTTTGCTAATCAAGTCTGAAAGCAGGGATAAAAGGCTGAGTTTGCATCCTCAGGGGCATACGGAGCACAGGAGTGAGGAGGTTGGTTTATGGGCCACGGGAAGTCTATCGCTGGGGTGGGGAGACAAGCAGAAATCGACCCACCCCTTTGGAGGGTGCTGGCTTAGAAGAGGGGAGGAGGCTGGGCAGGGTGGCTCACGCCTGTAATCCCAGCACTTTGGGAGGCTGAGGTGGGCGGATCACCTGAGGTCAGGAGCTCGAGACCAGCCCGGCCAACATGGTGAAACCTCGTCTCTATTGAAAATACAAAAATTAGCCGGGCCTGGTGGCATGCATCTGTAATCCCAGCTACTCGGGAGGCTGAGGCAGGAGAATTGCTTGAACCTGCGAGGCGGAGGTTGCAGTGAGCCGAGATCGTGCCACGGCACTCCAGCCTAGGTGACAAAGTGAGACTTCGTCTCAAAAAAAAAAAAAAAAGGGGAGGAGGTCTGGACCCAAGAGGAGTTGCCACCTTCTTAGTTCTGGTCCTCATACCCTCTAGGCAGAACAGCTCTCAGGTACACATGTGTGACAAGACCCCATGGGAAAGACCCAAATCCCTTGCTTTTAGAATGTGCCAAGGCCAGTCTTCTGGACAGAGCAATTCAGAAGGTGCTAGCGTGAGCTGCTGAGTTTCCCACTCTTGCTTTAGCAGAGCTTCTCTTCTGACCCCAAATCCATCAGTCAGCTTTGACCCTGCTTCCTTACCACTCATTGTCCCTCCCTTCCTCACCTGGAAAATAGGATGATAGTTCCCTCCTCACGGAGATGGAGGGTCAAGTGTGATGTGCACATAGAGCTGAGCAGGGGGCTGGCAAACAGGAAGCGCCCTGTAAATGCTGCCAGGCAGAAGCCTCAGTCCCTGTCTCCACAGGGCTTCCGGGTCGTTCTGGCTGAAGACTGCTGGATGAAGTCGCTGGTTCCTCTGATGGCGGAAGTCAGGCAGCAGATGGGAGGCAAACCCATTTATATCAGCTTTGATATTGACGCTCTGGATCCTGCCTATGCCCCAGGGACAGGGACACCTGAAATTGCTGGTCTCACTCCTGGGCAGGTAAGGAGACTCCAGTGAAGATTCCTGGGGGTGGAGATACTTAACACCCATTTTCCTGGGCCTTGAAGCGAATCTTTAGGAATCAGGATAGGATTTTTGTTTGTTTGAGATGGAGTCTCACTCTGTCGCCCAGAATGGAGTGCAGTGGCACGATCTCAGCTCACTGCAACCTCCGCCTCCCAGGTTCAAGTGATTCTTCTGCCTCAGCCTCCTGAGTAGCTGGGATTACAGGCACACGCCACTACGCCCGGCTAATTTTTGTATTTTTAGTAGAGATGGGGTTTCACTATGTTGGTCAGGCTGGTCTCAAACTCCTGACCTCGTGATCCACCCACCTCAGCCTCCCAGTGCTGGGATTACCAGTGTGAGCCACCGTGCACGGCTGCCAAGACAGGATCTTAAGAGCAGAGCACCTAGGCTTTTACTGTTCTCCAGGGTGAGGATAAGTTTGAATACTCTCTTACTGAAGGGTGACTGATTTTGGCAAGGGCCTTCGTTTCCTATCTGGGATGTAATAGTCCTTTATTTCATCCTTTATTTGCTCTTCCTGCCTTCAGTTCATCTGTCACGAGAACAACAGTTCATGGGAACAACATTAATAGTATCCTCTCTTAAGAACACTAAACTTGGCCAGATGCCGTGGCTCATGCCTGGAATCCCAGCTCTTTGGGAGGCCGAGGTGGGTGGATCACAAGGTCAGGAGTTTGAGACCAGCATGGCCAAGATGGTGAAACCCTGTCTCTATT